CAACAAAAAAAAAAGAAAAAGCGGAAGCATGATGGCAATGGTCCCAACCAAGGATCCACTAGTAAGATCATCAAAGGGATCAACAACGGGTTCAACAAGAGGTTCAAAGGCAAGTGTTTTGTGTGCGGCAAAGATAGACATCGCACTAAGGATTGTCACGTTCGCAAGACGGAGAGAGTTCAAGGCAAAAAGCCAGCACAAAACCAACATTGCCAAGGATTATTTTATCTTTCCAATGAAAGTGGCAAGACATCAATTCTTGCCTGGCAGTAGATCTCTGAAGTAATTTGGTCGGGGCCAATCCAAGGAGGTGGTGGGCTGGATACTAGAGCAACCCGCCAATCTGTGCAGATAAGAAGATGTTCACAAACCTACAAGTGGTGAAAAGTGGAAAACACTCTTTAGGGAAACTCCTTCACTTCAACTGTGGAAAGGACAAGCGAAAGATTGTGTGCGAAAATGCCTCGGGAAAGAACTCACGCTTAAACAGTGTACTCCATGTGCTAGAAATGCTGCAAAAATTTATTTTTTTGGGTCATTGTTGATCAAGATGCGATTTAAATTAGTCTTTGAATCTAACAAGGTTTGACTCTTCACAAGAGTGGCATGTACGTGAGGCGAGGTTATAGAGTGATGGGCTTTTTCAGCTCAAATGTATATTGTATGTACCAAATTTAGCTATTAATAATAAGAACACAATCTTCATATTTATATTGTTGAATTCTTATTTGTTTATAACATGAGTAGAATTAGGACATGGTAAAATTAAGAATGCTTGCAAACTTAGGAAATTTGATCATAATCTATAAATGTGAAGATTTGTATTGAGACAAAACTCACTAAAGCGTCATTAATAAAGTAGAAAGAAGTACTGTACCTCTAAGTTTAAATTCACAAGATATCTATGATTTTAAAATTTGTTTAAACCAGAGGAGGTAAGCAAATACTTTATTACTTTTATTGATGATTGCAACTTGATATGAGGAGTGACAGAGGTGGTTGAGGAATGATAGCACTATCTTGAGTAATTTTTGTTAGTTTGAACTGGATTATTCACCAAAACCCAGACCCCCTTAGTCTCCTCATAAATGGAAGTTGCTGAAGAGAAAGAATGAAGCTCATTTAAAGACGATATGAATAGCCATGTTGATTAGTTCAGGGTTACCTCAGGAATTGCTGGGAAAGCGTTGTGCTTTTTATCTGAAAAGTACCCCACAGAAAATCATATAACAAAACCTTATGAAGTATTGAAATAGGTCGTACCGAAGCCTACCTACAATTACCTTAAAGATGTGGGAGATAGTGTTTTGGCTAAGGTACAATTCCCCATAGTCCCAAACACACTAACGATAGAACCCAAAAAATCGATTGATTGTGTGTTTCTATTGGCTACGTATATACAATCATTAGTACTGCCAATACACCGGATTTCTTAGTTCATAGATCTGCCAAAATCCTCAAGTAATGCCCAATCGTAAACACTATTATGAGGTCAAGGAATGCGTCGTTTTTTGAACATATTTTTCCTTGCAAGGAAACTGAAGAGAAGAAGTCACAAATAAAAGAACGTGTTGCTGGAACTGCTGAATGGATAGTAGTAGTTGAAGACCACAATTATTAATGAAGTTAGATGAACCTAA